CTGCAAATCTTATTAGATTTCTCAGTATCTTTTATTCCTTTCTAATATTCCCTACATGGAAACAAATCAGCAGCAGATTAGTAACCTGATTTGATAATTGAGCTAAAGACCTCAGTGAATTCCAATAAGATGGTATCGATCTTCTTGGCCTTTAGTTTGCCTTTTTTTTTTCCTCCACAAAAATGCATCTAGAGTGGACATCCCATACAAAAGAACTCTGTAAAATGCATTCACAATTTCACTGTACCTCACGCCATGCTCTGAAGGAGATGAAGTTTAGCCATTTATCTTATTGATGGTTTGAATTTTGGAATTTAGCTACATCACCAGAAATCAAGTACCAAGTCCAGTCAATATTTTCACAGAGATGGACGGTTCATTCCAGAGAGCCTCCATCTAAAACTTTATAACAAATTGAGGCATCAGCTTTTGAACCTCTATCCAGTAAAAAACCTTTACTAGCTTAAATCCTACTCAGGAAAAAAGAAATCTGAGAGAAAACTATTAAAGGAGAGAAATGCCTCTGGAAATTTAGCTGCACATTTACCCAGAATATTATCACTACAAAAAACATGCTTTTGTCAACTACTAAACTGCCAACTAAAAATTTTGCAAGACAAAAATAATTCAATAAACTTTCTATTAAGAATTGTTCATTTCAAGGCATACCAATAACATTGGCAAAAGATTTAACACAAGATGATATTTCAGAAACTTTGTTATATTTAAACATTATATGCTTGAAAACAATACATCAGAATATATGAAGAGCCAAGTATAATAGCTCTCAAGGAGAAAAAGCAATTTTAAAAAACAAAAAAGGAAGGAAACAGCAAATTTAATTGTTTTCCTGACACTACATTTTCCATTAGAGCATGAAGACTTCCCCCATAACCTTTGTTTATACTAACAAAAACAAAATCTCCACATAACATCTAAAACGTGCCCCAAAATATTACCTTAAGATATTTCTCAACCTATTTTATTTAGAGCAATTAAATGACACTTCTATGAAGAAAGAAAAAACAGTCGGAGAGCAAACAGTACTAGGCCTCACAGGTTATACATTTTCAGGTGAAATAAGAATTAACATTGGTAGGAGATGGAACATTTGAAGCTCAACAGCAGTGCAAAGTGACTGCATATAGGAACTTTAGGAAAAACAGGATTCTAGCAGTTTACAAGTTTGTCTGTTTGTTTTTAAATCTACTTTTAGTGTAAACTCATTTTATAAGAGCTAATATGAGACCCCAGCAACACAGTCTTGTGCTTCCTTGGGGAAGATCACACACACTAGCTTATTCCCCTTCTCCCTTTTCACTCCATATACCACCCTCCCACTAAATTTGCTTTTGGCTTTCTGGAGTTCACAAGAAGCACTGGAGATAGCCCACCTACTAGCATGCAGGTGATTACGTGTTCATGCTGATCACTTAGTCTTAATATATCTAAATAAAGGAGCACGTATTAACTCAAAAGAAAACCCAGTGTCCCATGATAAAAGCAATAGCTGCAGAAATGTTTGACTGCAAATGGGAGCAAATGCTAGAAAGGGAAGGGGATAGAGGAAACCATAGAGTTCATTTAGGCAAAGCAAATTCATTTATTTCCCATTTTAATTTGTATTGTAAACATTAACTAAAAGCGCCACAGTCAATACTTTGTTTCTTCCTTTTAAGTTCTTAACAAATTTACATAAATAAAATCAATAATTCCATTTATGCTATATTTCTCCTAGAAATTACAATATCACAGTCATATAATAAGCTGCTATACCTGAAAGTTTTCTTGATAATAAAAATTCTTCTGTTTAGCTCAAGATCAATGATATATTAATTGAAAGAGGGTTTTTAATTAAAGACTAAAACTAGTTATCTATTACTAAACACAGACTTCTTGTGTAAGTAGTAGTCAAGGACAAAGTAGTGTACTTATGTTTACAAAAATTAAATTTGATTTAGTATCAGCAAGTTCTTCAAGAGTTAGTATATTCAAAAACATTAGTTTTCCTCCTTTTTGCCTCAGTGTTTACAATTCTGAATATTTTGATCTTGCTTTTTTTTGTTTATAAACTCTTCAGGATCAGGTTCAGGTCTCCCCGAATATTTTGTGCAGCATATTCCTCAATAAAAGCCTAATTCTCTTTTGAACTTCAAGCACCACTACTCTATAAACACACTTACACACCTACATGTGTGTGTGTTCATGTGTGTATACACACAAGCACAACACCATTAACAACAAGAATAGCATTCATAATAATCTGTGCATTTACAAGTATTCTTTTCTATCCCACTGATTTTATTATTTCAGGAACTCAGTGCTTTGAGATGATGATGACTTATAGCTTCACAAAGTGATGAACAAAATGGTGATAGTATGCTCTGCACTAAGCTCTGCCAACTAAGAGTTTGAGATTTTAAGGCCAATTAAACAGCAAGTAACACCTAACCTCAGACAGAGCAACCCTAACAATTCTAGCCAGTAGCTCAAGACCGCCAGTTCAGAAAATCCCTAAAAGGCCATAATCAATAAATAAGAACACCAGCTAAAGCACAGTTGGAAACACTGCCATGAAAGATGAGAAGGAACGAAAGAGATGAAGACCACCAGAAAACCTCCCCTCTTGCCCAGCAATGTTGAGCAAAGTTTTGCATTGCTGTAGGCATGAACCTAGATTGCCGTGTAACTTCAGAAAGATTGTATACGCCATTATGGATAACATGAGCTTTGAATAATAAGTCTTAGGAATTATTACGGTTTCTTAGCAGGAAAAGAAAAAAATGCTTATGTAGCAACTATGAAGAGAACGTGAGGCTGGGTTTTGTGGATTCAACAGCCAGTGTTTGGCTGCATAGAAATTACGTGTAGATATTGCAAGCATTATCATGACTTGAGTAAGTAACATAAGTTCTCCAATTTCTTCCAAAAATTACTGGGCTGAAATCTCTTTCGGAAAATTTGCTTTATCCAAAATACAGCCATTCTGGCAGAAGTAATAATATTTCTTCTTGGACCATCTTTCCTTAGTGTATTTCATCATGGCAAAGAACACGGATCACATGGGAGTTACACAGTTCTAAATTTGCTCGTTTTAGCTGTGTATAAAAGAAGATTTAAATGATAAACTGCAAGTAGTTTCTAAGCCTATGTACCTGAATATTTGCTTTTGATCTTAAATCTTCACCAACCTTTAAATCTTCAAAGATTTAAGATCAAAAAGCAATGTTTTCAAATTACAAAAAAATCTAGCTTCTGGGCTCTTAGCAATGGCCAAAAACGTTTTGGCCTCATCTAGTAAAGCACAGGAGGCAGAAGACACGCAGGAGAGGGGAAATGCAAAAGTACTTATTTAGTGCTCTGTGCTAAACTTTACTCAGAAGAACAAGTACTACTATTTTGCATTAATTGTATATTTATGATTCAATGTTTATAAAAGTCTGTAAACAGTTAATATTTAAGCAGTCTGATAATATTTTATATAGTAGAAATGTATAAATGTGTTTTGTTTAGAATTAATTATTTATACTATTATTTTAGCCCTATATCAGGTCTATAGCTAGGAAGGAACATTATTTTTTATAACTAATCAGATTACAGAACTGCCTGTAAAATTTCAAAGGGATTACACAGGGAATAAGAAATTTGATTTTCTTAATTTTGTTTCCATTAAGAAGGCAACTTACTTCTTCTAAAATTTATCCATCAATGAAAGAAATTAGAATAGAATACATTCATCCACTTAGGAACAAAAAACTTCTATAAAAAGCTACCATATTATATATAATTAGAGAGGTTTCATTTTGGGACAGCTCACTTTCAAAAATCCCTACTCTATAAAGAAATACTGTCACAAATTCTATAACAGATATTAATTGTTTTTAAAAATTCAGCTTATCTACACACACACACGCTTGACCAGTTTTCTTATTTAATATCTTTAATTAGATAGAGCATTTCTCCCAGTTAATTACTTGACTTCACATACTTTTGCGTGCCTCATAACAAAATGTAGCATATGTGATAACTATGACAACAGAAAGTGCAAAAATTTCTTGTCATTAACTATGGAAAGCTAAAGAAAAGAACACTAACAGTTTTACAGGTTCTAAAAACTGACATTAAAAGTCAAAAGCTTAAAATTTAGTTAAGCCTTGCTCAATTGATTACTTCCTTGAAAATGTCTTCAAAATTTTCAATTTTTTACATTTACAAAATTAATTTTTAATCTTGTTTGGTACCACACAAAATCCATTTATAAGAATCTAAAAATCTGAAGCTTTCAACAATACAGAGTATGACTTGTACACACAGTGTAAAAGTAAAAAAAAAAAAAATTATAGATCGTGCGAAAAAATGAAATGATAAAGAAGTTAATAAACTAATGCTAATACATTTGACTAATACAACATTCTAAGTGAATATTTACATTTCAAAACAGTTAAATAAATTTTTCTGTGGAGATGTAATTTCATTGCAGACTAAAAAAGCCTGGAAAAGTTTGCTGAACATTTCCATAAACATCTATCTTTTCTTCAGATTATGGATATGGGGCAATGACAATTTCTTCAGAAAATCAAGGGAAACTAAATGCCATCAGCCAATGCAATTTTATGCAAAAGTTGTAACAACGTATCCCAACAAGAAGCAGCATGTCTGAAGAGATACTGGAAATTAAAGTTTCCAATTTAGCTGTGCTAAACACATGTGCACACGAAAGAGGGAACAGAAACTTGTTCTGCAATATTATCTAGAGGAGGTGTTATGAAGGCTCCAGTGGAACACGTACAGCTACAGTGAAGTATTCTATCACCAGTTCTACTAAGAAAATCAGAGATAATTGATTTATGGAAGTTATTTTAAGACAGTGCACAAAAACTTCAATTCAACTATTATTAATACACATTTTTATCTTTGAAGGTACAGCTACATACACATATATATATGCAAGAAAGAATATTTAACATGATAATATTAGTCATTAGATATTAACTACTTACTATTAAGAGCCATAATATTATCTGTTCCTGGATGATGGAAGTTTATTCCCATACGCCCTGGAATGTAAATAAAAGTTGTTTTTAATATTTTTATTTCAAGATTAAATTAAATTCATGAATAGTAAAAACTGCCAAAGGGGATGAGCAGTCAGGGTAGCTGAAACTTCCATCTATAAAAGATAACATCCCAAGAGTACACATTTAAGATATTTAACACTGTAGTAGCTTTTATACTATGTAGTTAAAATACTGAAAAATCATAAAATAAACAATAGAATAAAAATTCTGCAGTACATCCATTGCTTTGTGCTAGGAAAATAGTATGTTTACCCTCTCAAAATAGGGCTTCATAGCTCAACCTTCTGCTTGCTGCAGTTTTGCTATTTATTTTACATTTCAAATAAAGAGCACAGCATTCAAAAGTACACATAATTGTAATAGGAACAACAAATCACTATTTTCCATATTACCTCTGACACCAGAAACCCTTGAACTACAGATAACTAGAGATTGGGTGCACTTACCCCATTTTCGTATTTATCCTTAAGAAGCTGCTATTGCTCACTATCTGAGACACAATACTGGGCTGGAGGGAGCTTTGGTCTGATTGAGTTCAGACGTTCATATATATTTGAAAAAGTACACATGGGTCTAGGAATATTTATAACATGGGCCTATAATATAGAGAAGGTTCCCCATGAAACTGAAATAAGCTCTGCTAGTCTGATACTAGTTTCCCAGAAGCCAGAGAGATACAAAACAGCGCCAACTTTCTCAGAGGAGATTTAACTGTTGAAAGGTTGGCTTAGAAGGTCTCTGATGACTTCAGGAATTGGAAATGGAAGAAATTCAAACACAGTTACTTCGTTTGAAAGCAGGCAGCCCTCAAAAATCTATTCTTACTTTCAAAGCAAGACATGAACTAATTCTACTACTGTTCAGATTAGTCTTAGTTTCTTAGACACTGAAGCTGAAGTATTAAAAAATATACCCTGAAGAAACTTGGAATTTCTTAATTAAAAAGCTCGCATCCAAAGGTGTAATTGATATTAGTCCTTGGTTGGAAAATGATTTAAAAAAAAAAAAAAAAGGATCATTATGGCCACTTATAAGTAACTGAAATACATTTTAAGTGTTATAATCCATTTCATATACTGTCTCTATCGTTTGATTTGTGGTTAAGTTTGGGTGCTAAGGAAGTTGAAGGCTTACATTTTTTTTTAGTACATGGGCACTCAAATCTGGGAGCCCAAGATCCACTCACTATACTAAAGGAACAATATAATCAGTAAGTTCCTCTAGCATAAATTCGCTTCCCTACTTCTACCAAACCAAGTTTTAACAAATATGCTTTCACAGAACGGAACTGAGGCTAATCTTCCAGTTTCTTCTCCAATATTTTTAGCTCCTACCAAGAAATTAAAGCCTTCTATTTGAAGTCACAGAGACTGTTGTGCTGTAATTAATACTCTTTCCGAACAGATGCAACAAGAAGATTTGGGACACTTCTGAAACTAAGTCACAAGCAGTTTTAAAAAAGCAAATATATTTTCTTCACATTATAAATTTCTCATTCATTTAGAAAAAAGCACCCCCACAGTAAGAGTATATTGAAGGAAACAGCACCTCCAGAAAACAGACAGAGAGGAGAAGAAAGGTAAATAAAATTTCCATTCCAGTTTCCTTCCAACTCCTTAGGCAAAACTTCTTAGGATATCTTTAGTACATATTTCATAATTCCTAGTTACAGACATAATCACCAATAGATCACAATATATTTTCACATTAATCTGACACGGCAGAAACATTAACACTGCCATTACTTCAGTTAGCATATGCCTGTGCTAAATATCCCAGAAACCTTGTCGGATTGATAGCAATTCCCCTTGCTTAATAGCATATTAATGAGCATGAGGTTACAGGTATTTTTAGAGATTAGGCATATATAATAACCCATTATTTGTGATAGGAATGAGGGGACTGCTATGAAAAAAACTAGAGTAAAATGTGAATGCAGACTGCTTGGGGGTTGCCTCTTCTCTCTTCCTCTGCTGAAGCTGAAATTCTGCTGTTTGACCAGCTACAGAAATAGAACCGTATCTGTGACATCTGGGCTGGATTTTTTTCTCCCTCCAGGCAGTCGGTGAGCCAGGTGCTGCTTGCATGACATTTTATCACCTGCCCTTGGCCTGCTATTTTTAAACTGTTCTTGTCAGCTATCTTTTAGGAGGAGCAGAAAATACAGAGCAGCACAAGCAGGACATGTTCTCATAGGAGCTAAGCAATAGCGTGGGATAATTTTGTGCATCTTCAGAGAACCTCCCATTCCATAGCAACGAACTAACAAAACATTATCAAAACGCACTTGTATTAAAAGCATTCAAACAGATTGGTAATGCACCAGTCGTAAGAGAATTGGTTACCTTTTTATGTAGCCTTTCATATTAAATACATTATTTGAATACTTTACAAATTATTCAATTGAAAAAACAAGCCATATGCAAATGAGAGAAATGCATAATTATTTAAGGAACAAGTAGAGAGAGCGAGCACAAAAATGAAATTATTCATGTATTTATATAAAGATGCAGCATAAAACTGCAAAATGCAGTTAGAAACATGTACTTTGAAGAAAATATTTGGGTAAAACAGAAATGACTGTGGTAAAACAATCATTTTAAGGAAAAAGCACATGTATGCTACCTACATCTCTATAAAGTCTACATAAGCACACATTTCCAATTATAGCTTTAATATGAAATCTCTGGATAAAATTTCTACTCTTCAAGAACCTTAAGCACAATAAGCAGAAAAGCAGATAAGTTAAAGCACAGAAGTTACAGACTCCAGCAGTTCAGTGAAGTCATAAATAGGAACCCTTCCAATAACAACATCCCCAGTATTTGTATTCAGTATACATCTGCCATTTTCAGTTTGCTTGTCTTGGTTTCATAACTGTCTACAGAACATATTTTCAATTATATACTTTTATAACACATTACTAATGTACTTAGGCTGCAACAAAAACTCTTAACCTTTAACATAAGTCTTTTCAACTGCTAATTCAAAAAAAAAAAAAAAACCAATCAATTTGTATACTTCTGGCTCTTTAAACATTTCAGGGTACTAACATAGGTTCAGTCATTCTTGTATAACCCAGGCTGCTCTTTGCGTGATCCTTAGGCCATTGAAGTCCTTGAATTCTCTTTCCTAGCAGCATTCAGAAAGATTCTTGTCAGTGGCCTGCCTAGGTGCTACATGTCCAACACCATGCTTGCCATAGTAGATACTCCAACTTCATTCTTAGAGGACATCAAGTGCTCTAAGCACATACATCTGTATGTGTATCTTCTTTTCTGAATTACATTGGAAATAAGAGGATATTAACTTAGATGAATGAAATTTATTTATATTAAATACTAAAATTTATTATTTACTATTTTCCTATTGCATTAATTTTCAAAGTCATTTCAGAGCTTTGTCTGTATTTTTGGTCAATTTACAATTATCACTTTAGTCAGATGGAAATGCTTTCAACTGAAGATAAATTTAAATCTCAGTGAGCAAATAGGATTCAGATGGTGAAAGCTTTTTTTGCTTTCCCAATTCAGACAAGTTTATTTCTTTCTAGATATTCCAAATGACTTACATGATAATGCCAAAGTGACTCACATTTTACCTTCCTTTGGCTACTCAGGCTTCAAGTACTTGAAGCAAGCAGTTTTAGGTTCCTTAGTTGATTTGCTCCACTGCTTTTCCATATGCAATATCTTGGTGTTTGATTTCATAGGGGTTGAAGTGCTATGTCACCAGAACAAACTAAACTTAACCTATCTAACCATAAGATATTCCTGTCATATAAGTTTTCCTTCCTCATAACAAAACATCAATAATGACAAATAGGAAAGACTGTGTGTCCTTATTTGGTGCCACTATGATAAAACATAAACTAAACTATAAACTAAAAATACACCTTGATTTCAAGACTTAATTATATACCTTACTGACATACCAGTAGTCGTTTGAGACATAAAAGAATAATTGTCCATATTTTCTTGGCCTACAAATTTTACAGTGAATATTATTTGCCATTTTTTCCTATTTTTGATGAGAAGTCAAAATCAGGACAACACATCTGCCAGGCTAAAATACATCCTTCTCTTTCTTTAGCTTTGCCACATGCATTTCTTTTACTCTGTTCCAGATGATTCTTGAGAAACTTTATTAAGAGGGCATACCTCAGTGACTGATGACTGATACTGTGAGCATAATCACTGCTGTTCAAACTCATCTCTTTCTTTGCAGAAAAGTGCCATGATTCTGAAACAATTTTGAAATCTTCCCAACAACTTGAGGAAGTATGCTTTTACCTTATTTGAACATTTTTATTATATCTTTTACAAATAGGTATTGCAATTGTCTGGATAATTTCAAGCCACATGAATATTTTGAAAAAGAACATAGTTCCAAAAATGATAATCTTGGATATCAGTCGCAGCCCTACCACTATCACAGTTTTTGACAGTGTCCAGTGCCATGCTTGCCTACAGCAGTCACATTAATCTTGACTTTAAAAAACACTATTTTTAGTGACTTGTTTACAACTATCTGTAAAACTGATCTTTTTCCTTGTGTCTGAAACATAACTTCGAAACATCAATCATCAATCAGTCCCAGAACTGTAAGGCTTCTGCTTTAAGAGACTTCTGAATGGGACCCATCTTGCCTTCTTAAATGCATTATGTGGGTTTTTGTTTGTTTTTTGTTTGCTTTTAACTTGTGAAACCCTAAACAGCTATTGGACATCAACACTCACTCAGTCAAGGATTTTTAAGATTATAGTTAGCTATTTGCATCATTTTGACATCAATATTCCAAGAAAGAATACTTTTTTGGTCATATAGTAAGTAAAACTTCTTACACTGTTACAACTCATGGCTTTAACCAGGATCAACCATTTATACCAACACAGCAACTGGTACCTGGCATGAAAATAGTAAAGCTAGACCGCTTTTCTTATACTCCCTGCTTTTGACCTGTCTTGAACTTACTGGGAA